GAATGGTTAGAAGCTCATTTTCCCAAAATTTCGAATTTTTCCAGTGGAAAATAACAACATGAAAAATCTTGAAAATCAACTTACAATAACTGAATTAATTGAAAATACAGTCAAACACATTTCAAAGTTTTCCTGGAAAACTAGTAGAGAGAAAATTTTGGAACTTTTTGCATGTAAAGAGAATGGTTAGAAGCTCATTTTCCCAAAATTTCGAATTTTTCCAGTGGAAAATAACAACATGAAAAATCTTGAAAATCAACTTACAATAACTGAATTAATTGAAAATACAGTCAAACACATTTCAAAGTTTTCCTGGAAAACTAGTAGAGAGAAAATTTTGGAACTTTTTGCATGTAAAGAGAATGGTTAGAAGCTCATTTTCCCAAAATTTCGAATTTTTCCAGTGGAAAATAACAACATGAAAAATCTTGAAAATCAACTTACAATAACTGAATTAATTGAAAATACAGTCAAACACATTTCAAAGTTTTCCTGGAAAACTAGTAGAGAGAAAATTTTGGAACTTTTTGCATGTAAAGAGAATGGTTAGAAGCTCATTTTCCCAAAATTTCGAATTTTTCCAGTGGAAAATAACAACATGAAAAATCTTGAAAATCAACTTACAATAACTGAATTAATTGAAAATACAGTCAAACACATTTCAAAGTTTTCCTGGAAAACTAGTAGAGAGAAAATTTTGGAACTTTTTGCATGTAAAGATAATGGTTAGAAGCTCATTTTCCCAAAATTTCGAATTTTTCCAGTGGAAAATAACAACATGAAAAATCTTGAAAATCAACTTACAATAACTGAATTAATTGAAAATACAGTCAAACACATTTCAAAGTTTTCCTGGAAAACTAGTAGAGAGAAAATTTTGGAACTTTTTGCATGTAAAGAGAATGGTTAGAAGCTCATTTTCCCAAAATTTCGAATTTTTCCAGTGGAAAATAACAACATGAAAAATCTTGAAAATCAACTTACAATAACTGAATTAATTGAAAATACAGTCAAACACATTTCAAAGTTTTCCTGGAAAACTAGTAGAGAGAAAATTTTGGAACTTTTTGCATGTAAAGATAATGGTTAGAAGCTCATTTTCCCAAAATTTCGAATTTTTCCAGTGGAAAATAACAACATGAAAAATCTTGAAAATCAACTTACAATAACTGAATTAATTGAAAATACAGTCAAACACATTTCAAAGTTTTCCTGGAAAACTAGTAGAGAGAAAATTTTGGAACTTTTTGCATGTAAAGAGAATGGTTAGAAGCTCATTTTCCCAAAATTTCGAATTTTTCCAGTGGAAAATAACAACATGAAAAATCTTGAAAATCAACTTACAATAACTGAATTAATTGAAAATACAGTCAAACACATTTCAAAGTTTTCCTGGAAAACTAGTAGAGAGAAAATTTTGGAACTTTTTGCATGTAAAGAGAATGGTTAGAAGCTCATTTTCCCAAAATTTCGAATTTTTCCAGTGGAAAATAACAACATGAAAAATCTTGAAAATCAACTTACAATAACTGAATTAATTGAAAATACAGTCAAACACATTTCAAAGTTTTCCTGGAAAACTAGTAGAGAGAAAATTTTGGAACTTTTTGCATGTAAAGATAATGGTTAGAAGCTCATTTTCCCAAAATTTCGAATTTTTCCAGTGGAAAATAACAACATGAAAAATCTTGAAAATCAACTTACAATAACTGAATTAATTGAAAATACAGTCAAACACATTTCAAAGTTTTCCTGGAAAACTAGTAGAGAGAAAATTTTGGAACTTTTTGCATGTAAAGAGAATGGTTAGAAGCTCATTTTCCCAAAATTTCGAATTTTTCCAGTGGAAAATAACAACATGAAAAATCTTGAAAATCAACTTACAATAACTGAATTAATTGAAAATACAGTCAAACACATTTCAAAGTTTTCCTGGAAAACTAGTAGAGAGAAAATTTTGGAACTTTTTGCATGTAAAGAGAATGGTTAAAAGCTCATTTTCCCAAAATTTCGAATTTTTCCAGTGGAAAATAACAACATGAAAAATCTTGAAAATCAACTTACAATAACTGAATTAATTGAAAATACAGTCAAACACATTTCAAAGTTTTCCTGGAAAACTAGTAGAGAGAAAATTTTGGAACTTTTTGCATGTAAAGAGAATGGTTAGAAGCTCATTTTCCCAAAATTTCGAATTTTTCCAGTGGAAAATAACAACATGAAAAATCTTGAAAATCAACTTACAATAACTGAATTAATTGAAAATACAGTCAAACACATTTCAAAGTTTTCCTGGAAAACTAGTAGAGAGAAAATTTTGGAACTTTTTGCATGTAAAGATAATGGTTAGAAGCTCATTTTCCCAAAATTTCGAATTTTTCCAGTGGAAAATAACAACATGAAAAATCTTGAAAATCAACTTACAATAACTGAATTAATTGAAAATACAGTCAAACACATTTCAAAGTTTTCCTGGAAAACTAGTAGAGAGAAAATTTTGGAACTTTTTGCATGTAAAGAGAATGGTTAGAAGCTCATTTTCCCAAAATTTCGAATTTTTCCAGTGGAAAATAACAACATGAAAAATCTTGAAAATCAACTTACAATAACTGAATTAATTGAAAATACAGTCAAACACATTTCAAAGTTTTCCTGGAAAACTAGTAGAGAGAAAATTTTGGAACTTTTTGCATGTAAAGAGAATGGTTAAAAGCTCATTTTCCCAAAATTTCGAATTTTTCCAGTGGAAAATAACAACATGAAAAATCTTGAAAATCAACTTACAATAACTGAATTAATTGAAAATACAGTCAAACACATTTCAAAGTTTTCCTGGAAAACTAGTAGAGAGAAAATTTTGGAACTTTTTGCATGTAAAGAGAATGGTTAGAAGCTCATTTTCCCAAAATTTCGAATTTTTCCAGTGGAAAATAACAACATGAAAAATCTTGAAAATCAACTTACAATAACTGAATTAATTGAAAATACAGTCAAACACATTTCAAAGTTTTCCTGGAAAACTAGTAGAGAGAAAATTTTGGAACTTTTTGCATGTAAAGATAATGGTTAGAAGCTCATTTTCCCAAAATTTCGAATTTTTCCAGTGGAAAATAACAACATGAAAAATCTTGAAAATCAACTTACAATAACTGAATTAATTGAAAATACAGTCAAACACATTTCAAAGTTTTCCTGGAAAACTAGTAGAGAGAAAATTTTGGAACTTTTTGCATGTAAAGAGAATGGTTAGAAGCTCATTTTCCCAAAATTTCGAATTTTTCCAGTGGAAAATAACAACATGAAAAATCTTGAAAATCAACTTACAATAACTGAATTAATTGAAAATACAGTCAAACACATTTCAAAGTTTTCCTGGAAAACTAGTAGAGAGAAAATTTTGGAACTTTTTGCATGTAAAGAGAATGGTTAAAAGCTCATTTTCCCAAAATTTCGAATTTTTCCAGTGGAAAATAACAACATGAAAAATCTTGAAAATCAACTTACAATAACTGAATTAATTGAAAATACAGTCAAACACATTTCAAAGTTTTCCTGGAAAACTAGTAGAGAGAAAATTTTGGAACTTTTTGCATGTAAAGAGAATGGTTAGAAGCTCATTTTCCCAAAATTTCGAATTTTTCCAGTGGAAAATAACAACATGAGAAATCTTGAAAATCAACTTATAATAACTGAATTAATTGAAAATACAGTCAAACACATTTCAAAGTTTTCCTGGAAAACTTGTAGAGAAAAAAATTTGGAACTTTTTGTATGCAAAAAGGAAGGTTAGAAGCTCATTTTCTCAAAATTTCAAATTTTTCCAGTGGAAAATAACAACAATACAGTCTTATACATTTCAAAGTTTTTCTGGAAAACTAATAAAAGGAAAAATTTGAAATTTTTTGCATGTAAGGAAGAAGGTTAGGAGTTCATTTTCCCAAAATTTCAAATTTTTTGAGTAGAAAATAACCACATAAAGAATCTTGGGAAACAACCTACAGAAACTGAATTAATTGAAAATACAGTCTAACTTATTTCAAAGTTTTTCTGGAAAACTAGTAGAGAGAAAATTTTGGAACTTTTTGCATGTAAAGATAATGGTTAGAAGCTCATTTTCCCAAAATTTCGAATTTTTCAAGTGGAAAATAACAACATGAAAAATCTTGAAAATCAACTTACAATAACTGAAATAATTGAAAATATAGTCTTATACATTTCAAAGTTTTTCTGGAAAACTAATAAAGGGAAAATTTTGACATTTTTTGCATGTAAGGAGGAAGGTTAGGAGCTCATTTTCCCAAAATTTCAAATTTTTCCAGTGGAAAATAACAATATGGAGAAACCTGAAAATCAACCTACAAAAACTGAATTAATTGAAAATACAGAGTCTCACACATTGCAAAGTTTCCTTGGAAAACTAGTAAAAGGAAGAATTTAGAATTTTTTATATGTGAAGAGGAAGGTTAGAGGCTCATGTAACAAGCACACAAATAGTTCAAATTTTAATTATTCCCGGCTCTTGATTCATTTCTGTAAGCATTCAATAGTTGAAATTTCAGTTGATTGCAATCAAGAGCCAAGAATAATTAAAATTTTCATTATTATCTTGATTGGTTAAATTCTTTAACTGAATTTTTGAGACGTTCAGGCATGTTACAGTCTTTTAAAAAGCTTAATAATTGATTGTATAAAACTGACTAATGATGAACCAATTCAGAATCCAAATTCTTAAAGGAGTATAGGGAGTAGCATTTATGATAGATCACCCTGTACATTTTGGTTTGAAACTATATACAAAGTTGTCTGAGAGAGGTAGATTGCCTCAACATAATGCAAATCTCCATGAGGTACCCCAGATAACGTCAGTTACCTCTTACCAAATAACCTATTGACTTTAGGAATCTTGTGGTATAAATACAAATAGAACTGAACATTATTGCCATGATGTCAGGAAAGTCAAAAACCACACTACCACAGAAAAAAGTGAGGTTACAAAAACCAAAACATGCAAACCGAGGCTCAAATTGAAGAAAAAGACCAACCCAGGCCCCTATTTGGAAATCGACATTTAACCAATGAAACAAATGTTTTCCAGCACAATGCCTGGTACGAAATCAATTATTAAACATTTAATTGGCCAATCAAAAAGATTTTGCCATCAAAAGAAACCAAAATATGGTACAAGATATCTCAAAGATAAAAAAGAAGTATTTAACTTCAATGCATGGTAATTTTACAGTTGAAACAATCAAATTTTACTTAAAACTTATTTAGGGATGATGTACAGTGGGACGAAGCTCAAGAACAAGAAGCCTTGAAGAAGGTGCAGCAAAATAGCACCATCAAATTCTCAGAGCAACAAATCCTGGAATACAATCAAGGAGCTAACAAATTCTGGGACTCTTTCTATGATGTGCATGACAATAAATTTTTCAAGGACCGCCACTGGTTGTTTACAGAATTTCCAGAACTTTTAAGCACCAACAACGAAAGTTTTAGCATATTTGAATTAGGTTTGTTATTAATGTAGTTGTATTCAATTTTTAATTGTACAAATTATTGCAGGTTGTGGGGTTGGCAATACAATATTTCCAATATTACAATTAAACCAAAATCCCTTGCTAAGAGTATTTGGTTGCGATTTTTCCCAAAAAGCAATCAAAATCCTACAGGAATCGGCAACATTTGACCAAACAAGATGTAAAGTATTTGTCCTTGATATAACTCAAGACTTGTGGGATAATGCAAATTTAGCTGAAAACAGCTTAGATATTATTGTAATGATTTTTGTATTATCTGCTGTCAATCCGGACAAATATAAAACAATAATTGGGAATTGTTTTAAGTATTTGAAACCTGGAGGGTTGATTTTGTTTAGGGACTATGGCAGATATGATTTGGCACAGTTGAGGTTTAAACCTGGAAGGTCTGCAGGGGAGAATTTTTATGTCAGAGGCGATGGGACTCAGGTTTATTTTTTTACACAAGGTAATTGAGATTTCATTGTAAATTTAAGTGGTTTTAGAGGATTTTTTCTAGGGGTTGGCAGACAATTTTTTGTTATTAGATGGATATTTCCATACAAATAATGTTTCCAGCTCTATAGTTTTTCCAGCAGTATTTTAGAAATTTTTCTGATTTTTTTTTAATACTTAATGGTTTGTTTATTAGGTGCCTTGTCTAGACAGTGATACAATATGATTTAGTTGTTTAACACATACCCACACCTACCTAAATATACAGGCAGGGTTGTTACAAGCTACACAATTGGACTATGAATTTAGCCACTTCTGCAAAGTGGCAAAAGATGTCGCAAGCGTTCAGTGTCAGAGTCGAGATCTGTGGGCCCGAATTCTGAACCGACGATTCAATAGTGCCCATCGCCCATGAGGTCTGTTTCAGCAGAAATCACAAACCAGTCAGAGTGAATTTCATTGGTTGAAACTAGTTTTTTGTCTAATGAAATTCGCTCTGACTGTTTTGTGATTTCTGCAGAAACAGACCTCATTACCTCATATAAATATAAGGTCTGTTACTCACTTGTTTGATCCCTCATAATGCGCTCAAATACTTTGGACAGAATTGGCAGAAGGGATATTGGACGTTAGTTATTATGATCATCTACTGAGCCTTCTCCTTTATATAACGGAATCACTTTTGCCATTTTAAAAACTACCGGAAATATAGCAGTGCTTTGCGAGAGATAGAATCCTTGCGATAGATTCAATGATAAACTCACTTAACTAGCAGAAACGTGTTAATAATACGATGTAAAATTAGAAATTATTCAGTTAATTATTATAGCAAGGTTTAGAGATAGTAGTCTGGTTTATAATTTCTGTGACAATAGACACGTTAACTGGTCAAAATCCGTGTACAAGTTGGTCAAAATCCCAGAAAATCTCATTAAATCTTCTCAAAATCCCTAAAAATCTTTGAAATCCTTAAAAATTTAATAAAATCCCACAAAATCTCTTGAAATTGCATAAAATGCTACAAAATTTAACAAAATTTCATTAAAACCAAAAAAATCCTGTAAAATCTCATAAAATCATCAACATTCCTTTGAAATTCCCAAAAATCTTTTGGAATCCCCAAAAATCTATTAAAGGTTAAAGTCTCTCAGAATTCCATAACAGAATTATGTTATTCTAAAATAGGAATTACACGTAAAATTTTTGCAGAGTTTCCATAGAATTCACATTAAATTTTAGTTCCTCTCGAATTACATGAAATTTCAGTGAAATTCCAATCGAATTACACGAAATCCTGAATGAATTGCAGTGAGGAATTCTAAATAATTATATGAAATTACACCGAAATTCTTAACATGAAATTTCAGTTCTTACTGAATTTTAGTAAAATTCCACAAGTGAAATGCTGAAAAATTTATGGCTAAAAACATGGAATTTTAGTGAAATTCTTATGAAAATAAATGAAATTTTGAAAAATTCTATGAAGTTTCATTGGACTTTCGAGCATTCTTCGACTATGAACGTAGTATTTCAAAATATTCTCATAAAATTTTAGTTAATTCCGAGGAATTTTTAAGAAATTACATGAAATGTAAATGAAATTCCCAAGAATTTTATAAAAATTTTGTGGAATTTCAAAATATTTCAGTGGTGAAGTTTAGGGGAATTTCCGTAAAGTTTTAGAAAAACTATAAAATTTGAAATTTCTATAGAATTTTGAAGAATTTCAGTGGGATTTCGAAAAAAAACTATGAAATATTCGCAGAATTTCCATCAAATTATACAGGTTGTCCACTTAGTGCGATATTGGACGATATCTCCTTACAGGGTGATGCAAGAAAAAAATATTAAATTACAAAGTTGTTTGATACTGTTATATGCATTAGTTAAAAATATTTTTGAATATACAGGGTGCAGGGTGCTCCATTTATAGGATATGCGACAGAACTTTGTTTTTTTAAACGGAACACCCTGTATGTGATTGCATATTTGGATTCTAGGTAAAATTCTGAGAAGATTTCATGTAATGTTCCCTACCTAAGTTCAACAGGAAATATTGACAGTTGAAAATTGACTTTTCGCAACTTTGACAGGCTGTAAAACCTAAACGATTAATTTTAGATGAAAACCGATTTCGTATTTCTGTCTTAGATTTTCATAAACTATCCCAATTTTGAATTTAATCCAAGATTAAAAATTCCTATTAAATTTAACTGGAGATTAAATTCAAAGTTGCTGTCAAAATGATAGTTTATGAAAATCTGAGATAGCAATGTGAAATCGGTTTTCCTCTAAAATTAACCATTTAGGTTTTACAGCCTGTCAAAGTTGAAAAAAGTCAATTTTCAACTGTCAATATTTTCAAAACAGTTGAACTTAGGTATAGGGTATATTTTGTAATTTAATTTTTTTTTACTTGCATCACCCTGTAAGGAGATATCGTTCGATATAGCACTAAGTGGACAACGTGTAAATAATTTCACTTTGTATCGACTTACATAAAATTTCGATGAAATGTCGAGTAAAATTCCAAGGAATTCTCGTCGAATTACATACATGGAATTCCTTGAAATCTTATTGTACGCTCCAGGAGACTCTAGTTCTCTGGATAGTATTTTCTGCTTGATCCCGATGGTTTAGGATAGAAGAGCAGAAGGGCCTTAGTACCAGACAGGACTTAAAGTCACGGCACTTGCACTAGGGCGTAAGATAGGTAACTTACAACCAGACTAGAGCACTTGTTGTAAGTTGGAAAAAAAGGACCCAAGCCAGACAAAGCACTTGCTATAAGGTTTATATTAAACCTGTAACCAGACAAAGCACTTGCTACAGGTTTAGAGAAGGGCCTAATGTAACCAGACAGAGCACCTGCTACAATAAGGCTAAAGAAAAGTAATTGTTAGAGCGCAGTCTCACGACTCTACTAGCGTTGCTAGGCCAATGGTGACTTGGGCACAATTTAAGTAAGAGAAACAACAATAAGTTTGAATCTGATTTTATTAATGAAATTGATCACCTTTTATATACAATAAATGCTGATTTTGCACACATCGATTGTCGTCATTTCCAATAATAAAAGTAGGTTGCTTATAATTAATTAATTCTAATATGTACAGTATGGTAAAAATATTAAGATTAAATGTTCCAATTTGGATAAATGGACATTCTGCCGCCTCTCAATTTGTCGACTTCAGGGACTGTAGTTCATACTCTTCAGGTTTGTTGGTGGTCTTTTTCTCTCTTGTTCGAAGTCTTAGATATTTGATGCCTATCCAGACACCCAAAACTACCAGGATTGTTGCAATGGTTTGTGATGTGCGTCCAATATTATTAGTTTGCTCAAATGATTTTGACTTGGTAGTATTATAGGATGTTTCTGACTGTATGGTAACCCTGAATTCTGTAATCTTCCGCCAACTCGTAAGATTTTTTCCCCGTCAATAAATGGGCTTAAATTAAATATTTTGCTTGATTTCTCAACGGTTTTCTTTGTGTTAATGGACGATATCTCGGATGGAAATTCGCAGTTTTGGATCACTTTGATAACTTCTTGGAGCGTTTTTCTTGTTTCTTCGACAGATAATATTGGTTCGTTGGACCTGTGAAAAAATCTTCGACAGAAGCTTAATATTCTTATCATTCTGGTTAAGTCGGAGAATCGTTCGATTATGTTTTCTGTGATTTGTGTTTTAACTTGGAAACATTTTATGGTTTTCTTAGCTTCTTGGTCCGTTTCGGGTATTTCTTTAGCTAACGGTAGTGGTTCAAGACTATGAAGCCATGCTGGTCCATTCCACCACAGGAGATTGTTTGCTAATTGTTCTGGATTAGACCCTCTGGATATAACGTCTGCTGGATTTTCGGATGTTTTTACGTGGTTCCAGTGGCTGCTGTTTACGTGTCTATTTATATCACTCACGCGATTGGCAACAAATGTTTTCCATCGATTGGGCTGGCCTTTTATCCAGCCTAATGTTATCATGGAGTCACTCCATGCGAAAGTTTCTATATTTTCTATCTCTAGTGTCGCAATAGTTTGGTTTATCATTTTCGCTAATAAGTGTGCTGCACAGAGTTCAAGTCTCGGTAACGTTGTTCTTAGTTTTACTGGAGCTACTTTTGATTTTGCCCAGAGAAGTGTGACAACTATATTCTCTTCAGTCGTCAGTGTTCGGCTGTAGATGACAGCTCCATAGGCCTTTTCAGTGGCGTCACAGAATCCGTGGAGTTGAATTAGGTTTCCTTGGCTAAATTGCATCCATCTCGGAATTCTGATATCTTCGACTTTATTCATGTCCTTTCTAAATGTTATCCATCTGTCTGCTAGGTCACCTTCTATTTTCTCATCCCATCCTAATCTTTGTAGCCATAAGTCTTGTATGAGTATTTTTGATTTGATGACTATAGGTGATAACCATCCTAAGGGATCGAAAATTTTTGATATCTCTGATAGGATGTGCCTTTTTGTTATTAGATTCTCTGTTGATGTGGTAACTTTGAACATGAAGTTGTCATCATAAGGCGACCAAAATACGCCAAGTGATTTTTGGATGTCATCTTCGGATAATTCTTGGACGGTTTGGTTTTGTTGCGATTCGGGAAGGGCTTGAAGCAGGGCTGGTTTGTTACTGGTCCATTTTCTGAGATTAAAACCAGCAGATTGCATCATATTGAGTAACTGTTGTTGAATTTCTATTGCCGATTCTAAGTCATTGGCTCCTGACAGGACATCATCTACGTAAAAGTCTCGTAGGGTGATTTTGCTTGCAATAGGATACTTCGTTTCTTCAGATTTTGCCAATGTTTGTAAAGTCTTAATGGCTAGGTATGGTGCAGATGCTGTTCCGTATGTGACAGTAGTTAGCTCGTATTCAATCATTCGGTGTCCGCTGTCAGATCGCCATAAAATTCTCTGGTAAGGTTGATCTTCTCGATGGATTTTTATCTGTCGATACATTTTTTCTATATCGGCTGTAAAAACTACTTTATGCTGCCTCCATCTTAACAGGATTT